CCTCCAGATCACCATCCAAGAATCCTCTGGTGCTCATCATAGATGGTCTTGACCAGCTGCCAAAGACGGATGTACAACCTGACTTGACATTCCTTCCCGAATCACTAGCTTCAAATGTAAAGCTTCTTATTTCCATTACTGCAAACAGGCCTGCCATCCCTGCTCCCCTGAAGAGGTTTTACCCAAATTCAACCCTGTTCTATGAGTTGCAACCAGTAGAGAGTAAAAGCTGCAGCCAGCTGCTGACAACACGTCTTCAGGAGTCCAACAGAAAGATCACCTCAGGCCAACAGATGTATGTGAATCAGGCTTTTAAAAATTGCTCTGTCCTGCTATACATGGAACTCCTTCATAGACAAGCAGTCCACTGGAACTCAGGGTTTGAGATTACGGAGGACACTCTGGTCCAAGAGGTCCATAATAACATTGTCCTGATGTTTGATCATCTGGAGAGGAAGCATGGGAAAACATTAGTCTCCAAAGTTTTAAGCTATCTTACCATGGCCAGGTATGGCATAACTGCAGTTGAGTTGACGGATGTTCTTTCTTGTGATGATGAAGTTCTTGCGTCTTTTCTTCCACCCGGCGATGATGTACCACTCATTTTGAGGATCCCTGAAGTTTCTGTGGAAAGTCTTCTTTCAGACCTGAAAGGGTTTCTGGTGCTGAGGAACATTTTAGGTACCCAAACTCTTTTCTGGGTCAGCAGACACTTCCCCTTGGTCATATGCAAGAGGTACCTGTGTTTAGAAGAAACATGTCAGAAGATAAATCATGTGCTGTCCGATTATTTCAGTGGCTTTTGGGCAAATGGCACAGCAAAGCCTTTGATCAACAAAGGCATGGAAATCCCAACCTCTTCAGATGTCCCACCGAATATTTGCATTGACAGACAAGTGCCAAGTCAACCTTGGATCTTTTCTCCTCCTTTCTATAGCTCTACTGCCGTGAGTCAATCAACAAGAACATATCCCAATTTGAGAAAACTCTACAGACTCTCTTTCCATTTGTTGAAAAGTGGAAGAATTGAGGAACTTGGTAACCAAATGATTTCTCAAGTATACCTCCAGGCAATGTTGCAAGCAGCACTGGCTGATGAACTGTTTCTGTGGCTTGAGAGGACATCTCAGTTAGTTTTCCCCAGGGAACTTCAGCTCCTCCACATCATCTTGAGGTCTTCAGCATGTCTACTGAGGAACAAACCAGCCTATCTCCCAACTGTACTGCAAGCCAAACTCCTTCCTTTTCTGAGTGTTTTTCCTACATTGGAGGAATGTGTTGATTCAGCAAGGTCTAAAGGTATGATCCCACAAAATGAAGTCTATGCTGTGTTGCCTCCAATTCCTTCAGTCCCTTATACCCACTGTACACTACAAGAGTCAACAGCTTCCCAGATCATGCAGTCAGCTGGATCTCAAAGTGGTACTGTGGTGGTTGTACTGGAAAATGGTGCTGCTTGGGTTTGTAATGGAGGTATATTTGAAGGCTTCAAATTGACCAAATCCTTGAATCTGCAGTTCAGAAGTGTCAGTAGTTCTGAAAACATATTCCTTCTCAGCACCCATTGTGGTAAACTTTTCTTGTTGGATGCAGGTGTTAATGCACAGCCTAAAGAAATTCAAACCCAACACAGAGAAAACAGGGAAAACGCCATTCTTGGGGGTGTCTTGGTGTCCTCTGACAAAATATTTGTGTGGTGGAAAGGACAAAACATTGTTAGTGTTTTTGTTAATAGGGAGGAATATACCCAACTACACTGCACTTATGAGATAACTTGTGTGTCATGTTCTGAGGACTCAGATATCATTTACTGTGGACAGAATGAAAGTTCTGTGACAATATTTGATTGGCCCAAAGGCAAGATTCTAGCCACCTTCACTTGTCCAAAAGATATACCAATCATTGACATGATTCACTCTGAGGGTGATGGGGTGATTACATGTGTTGATCAAGCAGGAAATGTATTTGCTTGGAATCTTGAGATTATAACAGAACCAGTTCTGATTGGTGAGAACCATTGCACAACCAAGGATCAGGTTTTAAACACAGACCACGGCGGAGACAACATTCTCCTAATATGTAAAAAGGAACAAATACAACTTATTGACATACATCATATTAATGTACTCGATCACTTCAATCCCCCGAGAGGAAAAACATTTAAGCAAGCCATAAAGGATCAAGATTCACGATTCATCTTTGCTTTATTGCGCAATTGCCCGTTTCTTCTAGTCTGGAAGTGCTCCTCCGGACAATGTGTGTTGAGTCTGGACACTGCTAACTGTCAAGCTAGTAAACTTCTGAAATGTGGAGCCACTTACTTGGCAGCAATAACAAGTGTAGGTGTTCTTATTTGGGACATGGATCTCGTTACAGCTTCAGGATTGGGCCCAAAATCTGGAAAGAAGGTGAAGATTGTTGCTGTCGGATCTAATGGTGAAAGCTGTTACTCAGCAGATGGCTCAAAACTTGTGTGGAAGTGGGCAATATCAAGTGGCAAAGTAGAAGCCCGCTTCCTTCACCAAGGTTATGTGGAGTCTATGTCCGTCTCTGGAGATGGCAACTACCTTGTGAGTATTGCAACAGGAGACATACATGTCTGGGACACCAAAAGTGGAGAAAACATTCACAGAATCTCTGGTAGTCAAGCATACAAGGTTTTAATAACTCCCAAGGGCAACTGTGGAGTTGCCCTGTCAGAGACGAGTCCATCAAGGGTGTGGAAGTTGCAGAGTGGACACATGATTTGCAGCATTCATCATAATCTCAGAAATGCCGCAATTTCACCAGAAAGCACCTTCCTTTTAGGTCTTAAGAGTGGGAATCTCTTGGCTGTCAGCCTCTGGTCTGGTAATGTCAGCAAATGCTTCTCGTGCAGGTCAGATGTTGTTGCTTTCCATTCTCTGCATGGCCGTCCAGATTATGTGATTGTTGCTTCAGCCTCAGGCACTGTGTACTCCTGGAGGTTAACAGAGGAGACTATTTGTCATCAATTCAAGTTGCCAGACTCCTCCTTGTGTCAACCTGAGATTTTTAGCCTATCATCAGATGGGGGGTATGCCATCCTTTCTATATCTGAATCCACTATAAACATCTTAGACATCTCCAACAGTAAACTCTGCTCTTTGAGAACCGAAGGACCAGTTCAGCATCCATTTGTCACTGTACGTGTTTCTGGTCAATATGTGTTCTATATATGTTTCTCATTTCTGGTGTGCCACAATAAATCCTGTGATCTCCATGAAAAACCGATGCTGGTAGTCACACGTCTGACTGATGGGGAGACCGTAGGTAGGTTCTATTTGTGCAAGAACCCCTCTACTTTCACTGTGTCAGAGGATTTGTTTGTGTATATAGGGTATGAGGATGGTTCTGTTGGGGTCTATGCTGTTATTGACGCCAAGATGGGTAAAGGCTGGAAGAAGGATGGTCAAAGCCCAACACTTTGGTCTCCATTGGATGAGCAATTGATTTGGTCGCCTCTGGTCAATCCTAACCTTACTTGGGTTGAATTGCCACTCCAATTGTTTTAAATAGTTCCAGTGTGAACAATTCTGCTTTTGGCACTGAGGTCCAAAAGGAATGTATATATGTAAAAATGTAGTTTTACAGTATGTCATATTGTTTTGACATGAAGATAAATATATATTCACAATTTTCCAGAATGCCAAGACTGTGTTTGTGATGTGTGATATACTTGTTTATCATACAAAATATATGTTAATTCATGTCACATAAGTCAGGATTCAAGAATAAATTAGGTGTGAAAATTTATACATAGCCAGTTTCTAAAAAAAAGGATTTTATATTGAATTATCTATGATGCATATTTTGTATTGTTAATTGATGCATAGCCATGCATTATTTTGTTCACTTAGTTTTTGAATGAGTTTTTTTATTAAAGCTGTCAAATAGTTATATAAAAAACTGTTTCTTTTTATTAATATTTATAATGATATGACATTGTGGTTCAACTTACAAAAGACAATAAAAATAATAATAAAGAAAATGTTACATTTATTTATTTTGATGTGTTTTTATTGAAGTGCAGAAATAACTTTATTTAAACACTATTTACATTATTAAACAATATTTTATTAATTTTGGGGTAATAGTGGTCTCTGATGTGAGTATACTTTGGGCATTTTCTCTCTCTCGCTCTCTCTTTCTCTCTCTCTTAAATAAAAAATTGTTATAACATGAAGCCTACATAACATAATATTGAATAATTATAATTATAATAGAACAATTATAAAGACATCAAAATGATAAAATATAACATAACTTAAATTTAAATGTACAAATTAAATGAATTGTACAAATTAACAATGTAACATTACAATATGTGCGAACATTTGATACCACGGTGTTTTAACATACGCACGCATACATTTGTTTTAATATAAATATTCATTTATTGTTCTGTATGCTAATGAGGGGGGCGTGTTTTACCTCAGAGCTCAGAGTGGCAGTGCTGAAGCTTTAAGTCCACACAGTGACACTTTGTGGTGTGACAAAACACTACACAAGAGGATTGTGGAAGTGACAGATCATGTCACAGGAAATAATGACTTAGAGATGGGCAATATGGCCATCTTACATCAGGGTTTATGTTCATTTTATTTAGCTATTCAACATTGGTCTACTCTTTATTCCGGGCTGTATACTGTAGATGGCTGTGACACACACCGCATATCTGGTATCTGGCAGGCAGCCAGTGCGCTCTCTCTCTCTCTCTCTCTCTCTCTCTCTCTCTCTCTCTCTCTCTCTCTCTCTCTCTCTCTCTCTCTCTCTCTCTATCTATCTATCTACTCACAATATACATTAGCCTATTAAATAAATCATTACAACTGTTTGATCCGGAAAATAATAGAAGGACGGTAATTACATATCGCAGGTCTAAATTTTGGACATTTTAATGACAAAATGCGGTCATGACCATAGAGATTACCGCGTGTAACTTAAGGACTACAATTCCCATCACCACATTTATTCATACGGAAGTAATCCTTTGCCATAAGTCCACTTCCGCTCCTTTGCCAATTCCTTTTCCTGTCTGCGGCCTCTGACAAGATGGCGGTGCAAATCTCGAAGAAGAGAAAGGTTGGTACGAATTTCACCGCAAACATATGTAATTAAAGTACATGGGTGCGAAATAAGAGTTGTACATTATTACTATGGTACTTCATTATAATTAAAAAGGTTCAGATGAGGATTTTAAAAGGCTGTATATGTGGATTGAGCTGGATGATGTCTGGACTGAATCTGATGTGAAACATGGCAGATAAACGCACTGCTGCGTTCAGTCTACTTTCATTTGTGGTTTAAATTTGTGCGGTTCAAACGTGTATATTACAATACAAAAGTGACCTTTAAGCATTTTAAATGTAATCGGAAACTTTTGTTAGTATGACTGCAAGAACTTGACAATTTTCAGGTATGGACTAAGATATATGCCACGTTAGAGATAAAAATATCAGCATTTGTTCATAAAACAAAGATATTTCTAGTGTTAAACAGCATATGATTTGTCTATTACCTTTGTGTAACGTTTGTCATGGGTTGTAAGACTAAACAGTGCAAGCAATATTTGTTTCTGTATGATCATATAAGACTGTCACTTGTCTGCAATTTTATTTCTGCTTTAGAAATATATTAATGTTAATCATTTTAATGTTTATCTATCAGTTTGTGTCAGATGGCATCTTCAAAGCTGAACTGAATGAGTTCCTGACCCGAGAGCTCGCCGAGGATGGTTACTCCGGTGTGGAGGTCCGTGTCACGCCAACAAGAACAGAAATCATCATTCTAGCCACCAGGTGTGGGTGATATCCACTTGTTTAGTTCAGTTCAATGACCACAGGTGTTTAAAAGCGTTGATGTGGTTCTAACTCGAGCATGAAGTGCAATGACTTTATCCGTTTGTCATTTTAGGACCCAGAATGTCCTGGGAGAGAAAGGCCGCCGCATTCGTGAACTGACTGCTGTCGTTCAGAAACGATTTGGGTTCCCCGAGGGCAGTGTGGAGGTAAGTTTTTAAGGGGTCAAAAACTAGTTGGGGATGGGTAGTTCTGATGGATTGGGTCTTGTTACATTGTAGCTGTATGCTGAGAAGATCCTAGCGCACATGCACTCTTGCTGATTGAAATCCTTCAGTGATGATACGATGACGAGTCGGAAAAGGGCCCGTTCTGTCTTTGAGGATTCTGGGTCAGGTTCACGTTCTGTGCGTCTGACTTCAGGTCCTCAAAGCAGCGAGTCCAATCGTTTGAAGACATATGAGGCATTTGTCTGAGAAGGGTGGATGAATGGAAAGCAGGCAGTGTGTTTTAATTGGACTCCAGATTATTATTTCTTTCCACGTCCTCTTGTTTGTTTCTTTATCACATTTGCTGTCCTCAGGGTGTGCTGAGTTAAAGGGATACTCCATGTTTTTTGGAAATAGGCTCATATTACAACTCCCCCAGAGGTAAACAGTTGTGTTTTACCGTTTTCGAATCCATCCAGACGTTTTTCTGATGTTTAGAAGAATAGCAGTAAATAGACAGTTTCTGGTCTCATTGACTTCCAAAGTATATATTTTTTCATACTATGGAAGTCAATGAGACCAGTAACTGTCTGGTTATGGATATTCTTCTAAATATCAGAAAATCAGCTAAATGGATTAGAAAATGGTAAAACTCAAACCTTTAACCCTGAGGGAGTTATAAAATGGGCCTATTTCCCAAAAAAGTGGAGTATCCCTTTAAAATGAGTAAAAGCAGTGCTATATCAATCCAGTAGAGAGTAAAAAAGAATTATAATCAAGTAAATATTTTCCAAAAAATATTTCAAACAGATTCATGAGTACTAAGTTTTAACTTCTCAAATCTTAAGTGAATTGTGGTGCATAATTTTCTAGGGGTCAGTGGAATTATTTAAAAATGAGAATACCCCACAAAAATGATTAAATTGAGTAGTACAATTCTGTGTGTAGAAACAATGTAATTTCATTGAATCTGAATATTTTAGACTTAACTAATCTCATTGTAAATTGGGTCTTAATAAAAGAAACATTTACATTTTAAGGGTGGCAGAACCTCACAAGCATTAACGTTTTTGGTGTCCATGGCTTCTAAATTAATCACCTACTATCAGGTGATTACGTAGTTGTAACCAACATGTTTCATTGGTTGGTTTTGACGTATTGGGTCTTGTTTCATTGTAGCTATACGCTGAGAAGGTCGCCACCCGGGGTCTCTGCGCCATCGCTCAGGCAGAGTCTCTGCGCTACAAGCTGCTCGGAGGTCTGGCTGTCCGTAGGTAAGCGTTTACTTCCTAGCACACCATGCACATTTACCAACTGTAATTCCCTTCAGTGATGATACGATGACGAGTCGGAAAAGGGCCCGTTCTGTCTTTGAGGATTCTGGGTCAGGTTCACGTTCTGTGCGTCTGGCTTCAGATCCTCAAAGCAGTGAGTCCAATCGTTTGAAGACATATGAGGCATTTGTCTGAGAAGGATGGATAGAAAGCAGGCATCTTGTGTTTTATTAGAGTCCAGATTATTTTTCCTGTCATATCCTCTGTTTATATATGTCCATATGTTTGTTGTCCTCAGGGCCTGTTACGGAGTGCTGCGCTTCATCATGGAGAGTGGGGCCAAGGGTTGTGAGGTGGTCGTCTCTGGGAAACTGAGAGGTCAGAGAGCCAAATCCATGAAGTTTGTGGATGGCTTGATGATCCACAGTGGAGACCCCGTTAACTACTACGTTGACACTGCCGTCCGCCACGTCCTGCTCAGACAGGGTGAGGAAGATGAATTGAATTCATGGCTCTCTTGAAGCTTGCTTGTTGGCGACTGAAATTCCCTTCAGTGATGATACGATGACGAGTCGGAAAAGGGTCCGTTCTGTCTTTGAGGATTCTGGGTCAGGTTCACGTTCTGTGCGTCTGACTTCAGGTCCTCAAAGCAGCGAGTCCAATCGTTTGAAGACATATGAGGCATTTGTCTGAGAAGGGTGGATGGATGGAAAGCAGGCAGTGTGTTTTAATTGGACTCCAGATTATTTTTTCTTTCCACATCCTTTGTTTATTTCTTAATCACATTTGTTGTCCTCAGGGTGTGCTGTGTTAAAATGAGTAAAAGCAGTGCTGTTACAGTACTGAGTAAAAAAAAATGCAATTTAACTATATTGACACAATTTATCCATAGAATGAGTTTTACCTTCTCAAATCTTTAGCAAATTGTGGTGCATTTTATTTTTTCTAGGGGTCAGTGCAAGTTAAAAATTATGTATAAATTACAATTTTAAATGAATTTATTGTAAATATTTGCTATTTTTTCTTATTGTGAATTGGGTATTGACATAAGAAGCATTTACACTTTAGAGTGGTAGAACCTCACAAGCATTAACATATTTGGGGTCCGTGGCATCTGATTTAATCACTATTGCGATCAGGTGGTTTAGTTGTAACAGGCCTGTTTCAATTCTACTGCATTGAGAGCTTGTGATTCAAATCAACAAGTCTTGCTGTTTTAACTGTTTGGTTTAGCATGGAACCACTAATGTCTTGCATATTTAGTAACTAATCATTAGCGGTGGGGGAAAAAAAATCGATTCTTAGATGCATTGCGATGTGGCCTATTCTGAATCGATTCACAAATGTCAAATCAATTTTTTAAAAGAAAGCGCGTTAAAATCTGGCGTGTGGAAATATTTTGGCTTCTGAAGTTGAAGGGGGAAAGGAGCTGGATAAGATTTACACTAGTTGTAAGCTTTGTAGAATAAAACTAAATTATTTCGGAAACACGACAAGTATGAGAAGCCATATGACGCGTTTCCACCCAGAGGAGGAAAAACACTTGGCTGTACTGGTCGTTGTTATATTATTAATTTACAAGTATGCTGCTAGTTCAGGCACACATTTATTTTCCTGTTGGTTCTTTGCAATGTTTATATAATGTATTGTACCTTAATTCTTTATGGGTCATTACTTTGTACTTTTAAAGCAAAGACACACACAAAAAGATTCAGATAATCGATTTAGCATCAAATCGTGAGGTGCCTAGAGATTCCCACCCCTACTAATCGTTGTTCCAAATGGACTCTGATCTGAATTATTTTCCCTTCAATGATGTAATGAACCAGAATTGCATTGTTTTTACGTTTTCAGAGCAGTGCGATGATTTAGAGGCGTTAGTCTGAGAAAGTCGTTCTTCTGAGAATCGTTCTTCTGATCAAAGTCTCATATCTTTCTAAATTTGTATGTTCATGTAGGTGTGCTTGGAATCAAGGTGAAAATCATGCTTCCTTGGGATCCCAGTGGCAAGATCGGCCCCAAGAAGCCCCTGCCTGACCACGTCAGTATCGTGGAGCCCAAAGATGAGGTCCTCCCCACCACCCCAGTGTCCGAACAGAAGGGGGCGGGGGCCAAGGCCGAGGCCCCAGTCATGCCACCAGGAACCCCAGTGCCGACTGCATAAAGGGGTAAGACCCTAAAACTCCAGTATTGAGGTCAAATGACCTCATCGTACCCTTCAGTGATGATTCGATGACGAGTCGGATTGAGGCCGCCCTCTGAGGATTCTGGGTCAAGCTCACGTTCTGTGCGTCTGACTTCAGGTCCTCGGAGATCGTGTGTCTTCTTAGATTGAAGATTTTGAGGCATTTGTCTGAGAAGGGGATTTTCCTTTTTTTGACTACTTGTCTTTGAAATGCTTTTTTATTATTATTCTAATGAGATTTGTCTCTTCCAGGTTGACTGATCATTGATGGAAGGCCTACACTTTTCTGTAAAATAAAATGAAATAAATGGGGAAATGTTGTCTGTTTTTATTTGATTTAAATGAGTGCTGTTTGAAATCTGTTCCGAATGGTTCCAGTACTTCTGTTATATTATCTTTTCACATTTTTACTGGCCGATGGGGTCCCAGAATGTAAATACTCACTCATAAGGCATGTTATCCATAAAAGGTGCATCATGCATGTTAGTGATAGGAGTTTCTTTGCTGCATTTACTGGTTTTATTTACATGTAGGTGTTGCATATGAAGGCATCCAGAATGTTTTTAACCCACTGGTATGCTTGCGTGTTAATCTCTATACACTTAGATCTTTATTTATTAACAGCTTTATTTTTAAGATTAAAGGCTACTGGTTTTCTTTTACTATTAGTTCTTGAACCTCAGGTTATGGCACAAAACATTTGGGGATTTAATTTGTAACCTGAGTAGATGTGCTGTAAGGTGTTAAGTACTACAAAAGCATTAACCATGGTACTTTTGTTAGTGGACTAAACTATTTGAGAAATTTTTTTTTTATTATTATTTATTTAAAGAGGAAAGTAGTTGCTTGTCTATTCATGAAGAAAGCAGTGCAGGTCTGCTGTAGCTACCTCTGTGTGTGTGTCATGGGTGGATCTTATAAAGTTACACGCGCACACCTGATTTACACAGCTTGAGCTGTTGCTGACTGAGCTCGAGCTGTAATTGAAGACAATGAGTTTACCGGACTATAAATCTTCTGGAAAACAGTCCTCAGCACCTGTGCAGTCGGTAAGACATTAAACATTTGCATTTGAAAATGAATTGTCGCATTGTAACGTTTTCAGCGTCCTATTTCATGTAACAGCTGTTCTGTGTTCCGGCTATAGTTTCGATCTCCTGATGTGTAATTTTGTGAAATTCATTTAATTTTGACACGTTATAACGTTGTCTCTGTGCTATTAAAGTTCACAGTATATTTTCTCAGCACTACCTGTAAAGCAAATACACTCAAGTTGTGCGTACTTGGAACACGAAACTCCGAACAACAAGAAAGTTATTTCTCAACAGTATTGTATGCTTAAGGCGGTAGCTCGTGAAAGATTTAACGTGTCTTTTCTACTTGAATTTTGCATTTTATTTTGCTTGCAAAGTTTCCTTAGTCTACCAAAAACATAGATTAATAAAAAAATAATAATAAGTTAAAAATAATGAGCATATTGCATTTATGGCAAGTTATATCAGTAAGTGTGCTGCAACTAGTTAACTTCAACTAGTTCACTTTTCTATTTATTTATTTTTTTGACAGTACTAAAATAGCTTAGGCTACGTGGTGTTATTTTATATATTTATGACGAATCACACCATGTTTTTAGCATGTTATGTCAATATGAATATCTGCTAATTTTAGTATTTTTGCAATATTTAGGCACATTACACATCTGATTCAAATGAATATTGCGAGGTTTACCCCTTTTTCTAATTACCAATTATTCAGGTAGGTTTATTGAAGTAAATTTTAATGCTTAGATTGATTCCTCAAAACTTATTTAATTATGGAGTGTTAGTAGGCTACTTAATCATGTCATTTCACCATAGAGAGGTTAAAGGTAATCTTTCAGGCTATCAAAAGTTTAAAACAACCCAGCAAACAATTTTAGGATCTGGGAATGTTAGTTTTTGGTTCCCAGAACGTTCCCTATTGGTTCCCCAGGAAAGTTTTCTTAACGTAAACAGAACATTCCTTTTATGAGAACCTAAAAAATAACCTTCAGGGAATGTTCCCATGCAGAACGTTATTATTTGGTTCCCAAAAAAATAACCAAATAGGAACCATACAGGAACATTAGGGGAACATTGTGTTTGCTGGGAAGCTATATAACCTGTTGAGCTCATATCAAAGCAATATGACCTTATATGCTTGCTTTCTCTGTCCACAGAAATCCCAGGTTGTGCAGCTGAATATCGGAGGTCATGTCTTCAGCACATTCCTGGGGACCATCCGGAAATTCCCAAACTCCACACTGGCAGACCTGTTTAACGGATCCAGCAAACGGATGGACCCCGAGGGTCGTTACTTCATAGACCGCGATGGGACTCATTTTGCATACATCCTTGAGTACCTTAGAGCAGAGAAAGTTCCTACTGATCACCTGCAGGAAGTGCACAAAGAGGCGCTTTACTATGACATCAAACCTCTGGTGAAAGCCATTGAGGAGACGCCTCAGTTCTTTGGAGAGACGGTCGGAAGACAGCAGTTTTTGTCCCGTGTGCCGAATTACCGTGAAAACCTGGAGGTGATTGTCCGGGTGGCCAGAGCGGAGGCCATCGCCTCACGCTACTCCAATGTAATCGTGTGTGTTGTGAGGACAGAAGATGATTTAGCCAAATACAATGATGCTATTGACAGTCTCGGCACCCCAAAAGAGTCCGTGGTGAGCTTTGGTCCGTGGAAAGCTCCAGCATCAGTGGATGACCTGTTAGATTGCGTCAAAACGGACATAGAGGCCAAAGGATATAAAGTAAAGATACAACCACACAGCACAGACAAAGGGTTTCTCTTTAAGAGCTACAACTTCTTCTATAAATTGGTTTTCACCTGGTGGTAAAGAGTGTGAGGCTCAACATTTTAGGCCTTTCATGACATGGAAAATGAAAGAATGTTTTAGACATGATTACCTTATCACACAAATCTTTAGCAGACCCATATGACAAACAGCTGCTAATGTATATTGAAGATCTTATTTGTCAGTATCTGTTCAACCCTTGTTTAATATTGACTCAAGTCATGCTATCCTGGCCTTTGGCTGAAAATAGCTTCTGCATGGACGTCTCTTGCCATGTTTCACAGACAGGTCTTAGATTAAGGCAGGATTAGGTTAGGGTTAGGAAGTTTAAGTAGCTTTTTAGGTTAGAAAGATGAATTAGTTGACTACCCCTGTACAAATTAAAACATCTATGATCACCATAATGACAAACGTTTTCTCATTGGAAAAAAAATAAAATCTTCATGCCTTAAAATAGCTTGAATATAACTACACCCTTACCTCATTTATTCACGAAGTTCTATGAATATGCAAGTTAGCCCCGCCTCCATCCACTCACACCGACCACACTTTAATGTGATTGGTTACAGGGTAGATTGTGAGGTCAGAAACACCAGCAATTACAAACTGCGTTTTTTGAGACAGTCTTTAGTTCACTGCAGTTAAAGAGAAAATACTCAGCAATGGTGTTGACTTGCACCTTGACCTGCATCTTGTCGGATTTGCACATGGTTTGTCTTAAAGCATATTAAAACATTAGAAAAACATTAGTGTTGTGCAGCTTAAGACAGACAATGACACTGACATATTTTAAGGTATACCTGTACAAATTTCCTAGTTAAAAACAGCTCAAACATGAGTTTTAGTCTAGGCCTTTAAAGTTTTAAAGGAATATTCTGGTTATTTATCAAGCTATTTTTTTATCAGCAGCATTTATGGCATGCTGTGGATTCAAACAGAATGTTATTTTGACTAAAGTGTATGTGTGCAGAAATGCACTTAAAATAGAAGTCTTTGGGTAAAACATGCAATTCATCCTGTTTATTTTAAGTCTTAAGTGCAAGTGTTTGCCACATCTGTGAACTGTGCCATTTTCTTTACCTTTTTACATATACCTTTTTTAATAATCAGCTCATGCATTCCCAATGCATACTTTTAAGAGTACAATGTTTGGTCCACAAAAGGTCCACTTGTCTTCGTATAGCGCTACAGTATGTATGCATAAAATGTCTGTCTTAACTACTGTATTTGTCTAAAATCTGTTCCATTTTTTCACTGCTAAGACTCTTGGGAAGAACCATTTCCTTGTGGATCATTAAAAAAAGTGCAAAAAATGCCTGTTGTCTTATTACTTGATATGTAAAAAGTCACGAAAGAAAAGCAGAATGATTTCAACAAGACCTTAATGGGTTCATGTTCATGGGGAGATGTTGTGCCACTGCCACCCTTTTAACTTTTAAATTTGTACAATAGAGCTGTTTTAGTTCAAAATGTTTGAAAATAAATGCAATTACTCAAAATGTGTTCTTTTGACTTATAATCGTCTAATATTTACAGATTTCTATGCCATCTAGTTCATTATTCTCTGTTGTTATTATAGCCTCTTATATTACGTTATACTTTTAAAAAACAGATGGGCCTAGGCCTATTTGAATCTGAAATGAGTCTCTATATGAAGTTTTAATAAATGATCAAGAAAAAAATTAATAAGTACATTTTACTTCATTAAAAATCAGAATATGTCTAATATGATGGCATTACATGATGTATTATGCATGATGAGGCATTGAATACATTCAAGGCCATCGATACCTGAACTGTCCTAGTGTGTTTTTTGAAGACTTCCGTCCATGTGGCGTCGCTGTTTCACCGCAAGGTTCTGACGCCACTGAACAGCGCGTGCGCGAAGAAGTGCAGGAGCGGATAAACACAGCTATGGCAGCTCATCTGAAAAAACGAGTTTATGAGGAATTCTCTAAAGTTTCTCAGGTGAACATGTAAATCATATATATTGGTCATTCACTATCATGAAATATGTCTTGGTTACAGAATAAAATTATATACGAAAGATATTATTAGAATAAATGCAAAGCACATATGATGTAGCCTTTAGCATTAGGGTATTTATTAATGACAACGGCATTTATTCATGTAAATTTGGGTGTGATTGTTTTATCCAAATGTCAGCTGGAACACTATTTATGCATTTTTATATGCACATATCTTATTCTCGTCCCACTGTAACTTCCCACTCAACATTTCCCTGTCAATTTTTATCTTAATATTGGGCTTGTGTGTAATTGGTGTTGATGCCGCAAATAATAACTTAAATAACAGAATGAATGTGCAAATCCTCCACGGATGTGAGAATACCAGGACTGAAATATTAAACTAAAATAACAAGTTATATTATTATTTTTCTCAGTTTTATATCAGGGCTTTTTTTTAAATGAGTTAGGTGACACTTGACAATAAGGTTTCAATTGTTAACATTTGTTAATGGATCAACTGACATTAACTATCTATGAACTATCTATGTTACTGGACTTGTTCATCTTTGTTAATGTAAGTTAATAAAAATACAGCTGTTCATGGTTCTACAGAGTGCATTAATTAATGTTAACTTTTGATTTTTAATAATATATTTGTAAATGTTGAAATTAACGAAGTTAATGTTAACTAATTTTATCTAATAAAACCTTATTGTATATGTGTTATGTGTTACCACGAATGAGATTATGTTTTATCTCGTCGTTGTCGTCTCTTTGCAGCAGGTGTCTTTAGAGGAGGTTCCTACGAAGAAACTTCGACTGACCAAACCCAGTAAATCCGCCGCTCTTCACATTGACCTGTGTAAAGCCAGCAGCCCCACAGACGCTCTGCAGTACCTGCTGAGTTTTGCACGAAAACCCGTGGAGGCCGAGAGTGTGGAGGGGGTCGTGCGCATTCTGCTCGAGCATTATTACAAGGTGTCAGAAACGGAAGCTTCATGAAATATCCTAATACAGATTCCTTGATACTGATATAAAACATTTTCCTCTCTCGCTTTAAAAAAAGATGCACTTGCACATTTCAGTTTATATGTTTGGAATAAAAAGTAAGCTTATTTATTAATTTTATTAACTGTCTCATTATATGTATATGCGGTGATGTGGTCTACAGGAGTCCGATAACTCTGTCAGGCTGAAGATCGCATCTCTGCTGGGTTTATTATCAAAAACGCAGGGCTTCACTCCAGACTGCATAGTAGACGATGCTGTTAACATTCTCAACAATGAAAGTAAGTATAAAATCATGAGGCTCTGTTAAAAAATTAATTTGACACTTAATATAAATGTCTAAATGAGTTGCACCTAATTACATTTAATGTACATTTTCATATAAGTAAATATAAGGATATGCTGGGCAGAGTGTTAACTAAAACTAAACATTAAAGCTAAATAAAGAAATAAAGCTAAAATAAAATATAAATGTTAGTTATAAAAATCTGAATTAGAACAAAAATGTGTAATGTTGCGTTGATGATAAACTGAAATAATTTGATGAATAAAATGATTAACTGAAAATATTTCAAACTAAAACTGAAATTAAATTAAAAGTTAAAACTATATATATATATATATATATATATATATATATATATATATATATAGTTTTTATGATAGTTTTAGTTTATATATATATATATATATATATATATATATTCTAGTTAAAGCAGCTATTTCTGATGCATATAAAATGCTTTATTAAAAATAATCAAATATATCATGTTTTGTTGTGTTTGATTAGGCCAACAGAGAGAAAAAAAATCCCTTACATTTAAATCCTGAATATAATGCAATGTGGTGTGAATATACGTTTCTAGTCAGCATAGATTGTGTGGAAATGGGATTTTTCTAATAATTTCATCTGTGTTTTAGAGTCTCATCAGGTTCTGGCGCAGCTGCTGGATACGCTACTGATCATCGGTACTCAACTCCCAGATAAAACCGCTGTCATTCAGAGACTTATAGATGTGGCCTGCAAGGTGACTGCAATAACTAAGATTTCATACTTTCTTATAATACTGCAGTCCTACTTTTTGGCACTATCAATAATTCATACTGATATCACTAGCTTTTATATGATTCTGAATTATTATTATTTTTAATATTTTATGTTCATGCCATATTTTTCCTCAGCATCTCTCAAGCACTTATTTTGGGGTGAGGAATAAGTGTCTCCAGCTCTTGGGCTGCCTGGGGACGGTTGATATGCCTCTCAGTAAAGAGACTGATGTGGGACCTGGAGCACAAATGTCACCCTTACGGGATGTACAGAGTTTGATCAGCGACTATTTTCAGGACCAGGACCCTCGAGTCCGCACCGCTGCCATCAAAGCCATGGTACATGAGCTCTGTAGAAAAATGTGGTGTTAAAACAGCATTTATTGCCACTTTCTTTAAATGACTTGTGTTTTTCTTTCTCTCATCAGCTGCAGCTACATGAAAGAGAGATGAAAATTCAACAGATTATTTATAACCAGGTAAAGACTAACAATAATGATCTGACACTACCATTTAAAGGATTAGTTCACTTTAAAAAAAAAACTTTTGCTGATAATTTACGCACCCCCATGTCATCCAAGATGTCCATGTCGAAAAGAAATTAAGGTTTTGATGAAAACATTCCAGGATTTTTCTCCATATAATGGACTTCAGTGGGAACCAAACGGTTCAAGGTCCAAAAGACACTTTCAGTACTGAGTACTTCAGTTTCAGTAACTGCAAACTGTTCAAAGGATTTTAAACGATTCCAGACGATGAATAAGGATCATTTTGATGAACGTGATGAACGATGAATAAGTTGTGCATTTTGATGAACGAGTTCGAATAGGAGAGTCACGAACGCGCATCACACCCTAACCCTAACACTAACAGTGCTAGGCGACTATTTGAGCTTATACAACTTTAAATGAGCAATTGTTTCGCTTGATAAGACCCTTATTCGTTGTCTGAAATCATTTAAAGCCCTTTGAACAGTTTGCAGTTTGTACTGAAAGTGTCTTTTGGACCTTGAAACGTTTGGTTCCCATTGAAGTCCATTATATGGAGAAAAATCCTGGAATGTTTTCATCAAAAACCTTAATTTCTTTTCGACTGAAGAAAGAAAGATATTGATATCTTGGATGACATGGGGGTGAGTAAATTATTAGCAAAAGTTTTTTGAAAAGTGAACTAATCCTTTAAGTTTAGGGATGGTAAGATTTTTGGTGTGTCTGAAATAAGTATCTAATGCTCACCAAGGCTGCATTTATTTGATCAAAAAATACAGTAAGACTTGTTATCATTTAAAATAAGAATTTTCTATTAAATATAGTGTATTCCTGTGATGCAAAGCTGAATTTCCTGCATCATTACTACAGTCTTCAGTGTCAAATGATTCTTCAAAAATTCTAATTCTAATTCTAAAATGCTGATTTGCTGCTCAAGAAATGTATTATTTTCATTGCTGAAAACAGTTATTCAGCTCTATATCTTTATGGAAAGCTTGACACATTTTTTCTCAGGATTCTCTATTAATAGAAAGTTCAAAAGAAGAGCATTTAATTCAAATTAAAATGTTTTGTAACATGCTGAATAAAAGTATTCATTCCTTTAAAAAAAAAAATCATACTGACCCCAAACCTTTGAACTATGTTTTAAATCTTTCGTTCTACAGAGCATGAGGTTACAAAAGTAATCTCCAGTAACTAACTTGTGAATGTCTCATTTCTCGGACAGGCCTGTAAGCTCTTGAGTGATGATTATGAGCAGGTTCGTTCAGCAGCGGTACAGATGGTTTGGGTTCTGAGCCAGCTTTATCCTGAGAGGTACAGTGTCCGTTTTTATGAGCTTTTCTGTGTTTTGGATGCCGTTATATGTGTTTACTTTTCTGTCATATTGTTTATTTAAAGCAGCAGTCCATAACTTTAGGCACTCTAGCGGTTAATAAACAGAACTGCATGCGTCTTGAGGATGAACGTTGTAGCCGGAGCCACTTCACTCCGTTTATGTCAAGTCACACAGGTACTGGGCTACTCCGCAGCGGTCTAAAGTAGTACCAATGTAAACACTTATATTATAGTGTATATGAAGAGTTCAGATGCAAAAGCCTCTAAGTGCCATTTGAAATTTTCTTCTAAAATGATCATTTTTATCAAGCTTGTAAATTTAAGTTCATAAATTTCACTTAAATGACAATTAATAGGTAATCTTCATTGCCATTTAAGTGAAATTACTGAACTTAAATATACAAGCTTGATAAAAATGGTCATTTTAGAAGAAAATTTCAAATGGCACTTAGAGGCTTTTGCATCTGAACTCTTCATATATTCAGGAGAGCATAAAAACACGGTTTGGAAAATGGATCCATAATGTACTTGCTCATTATATAATTATTTTACATTTTTAACACAAAACTTACGGACTGCAGCTTTAAGCATGCACTTTGTTATTATATATTTTTTTATTTATCCAAAAAGTATAAGGAGATGCGAACA